ACCTTTGAACTTGAAGATAAGAAATTTCGATACCAACGTAAACTAGACACTTTCTTCTATTACAAAGCAAAAACAAGTCACTTACCTGTTCTCTAATTTTCTCAGACATGAACATAATAGAACAGTACTCACTATGTGTCACTCTACCTCGAGTACGGGGCAAGTTGACACACTCTTTGTGGTAAGTTGACACGGATGAAATTTAATCAAACACACTTTATTTTTATCAATTTTTATTGCACTTTTTAGTAAATGAAATAAAAAAACATATTAAATGTTTCTTGAAATTAAAATTAAAAATTTTGAGAAAAAAAAATATATCACAAGAAAATAATGGAAAGGAAGCAACTTACTGAGAAACTTGCAAACGTTTTAGTTAATTTTTTCAACATTTAAGCCTTAATTAAAATTATTCAAAACGTATTTAAATTTTTTGTGTTATATCTATCTTTATTTTAAGAGTATAAAAAATGCATGCAAATTCCTCATTGTCGGGCTGGTAGACACGCGTGTCAACTTGCTCTAAGTGAAATGTATCAACATGCCCAAAACAGCCATTTTGCTAGAAATGACTTGTATGTGCCGTCCCAGTCATAGTTATAAAACACGAGTATGTATCATTAAATAGCCAAAAGAATGTACTTTCACATATTATGTAACTTTTTTCTTTAAATTCTCCTAACGAAGTATTTAATATAACTTAGTAAAATCGTTGCAGTCGAAAATATTTACTTACGTATGTGAAAAATATCATTTTTATTCCTGCACACAACAGAGGCTTCTGATCACAATGAAACTATAACAGTAAGTGACGCGTGTTCGGATGTGTTAGTGGTCATGCTATCACAGCTACCACCAGCTTCAGCATACGAAAGTTATCGGCATCGTGTCAACCTGCCCCCCGTGGTCAACCACCCACGGACTCCCCTACTCTATTCACCTCATTATTATTATTCTAATTATTCCGCTTGATATTTTTGCATTAAGAAATGATATAGTTTTAAACCAGAATCAGGGTTTGTGTGAACCCAAGAAACTGAAAGAACAATTACGGTTTGGTTTTGAAGGTGAAAGGCCCAATAGTGAATTTCAAACAGAAGTCTGGTTCTGATACTAGTATCCATAACGTGTTCTATAATGACATGGTGAAGCTGCTAGAGTAAAATGAAGGTATTCGTATAGTAATGTATAGAGAAAACCCAGATAACGTAATTATAGATTTTCATCCATAACTGTGGGAACTTTCACTGCGCATCTGTGTAATTAATCTAAGTTCTGAACCAAGAAGTAAATTGTTCAATATCGTCTAAAATCGAAGTTTGGTTTAAAAGCAACGGCATTGAACATAATCTTCACGCTCCTTGTATCAAATGTTTTTCACAACAAATACCACAAATATCTAGTAATTTAAACACCTTATAAAGCATGCAAATGTCTGGCGACATACGTCACAGAGTTTACAACAAATAAAATGATTTGAAGTAACATAAACACGTTGACTCATTGTGTATCTTAACTCTCCGTTTTTTCTTTGTGTCTTTTGCCATAATTTTCTACACGTTGATGCAAGTCTTTTTGAAATGCCTCGTTTCGAAGAGCTCCTCCAGGGGAATAGTCCAGGCTCTCTCGTTCGCTTGCTGGAAAATACTTACCTTGCTTGTTCTTGTAGGTAACATGGGGAATTCGAAAGTATCGGTAGAATAGGGGGCGCTGTGTCGGTCCAGGTTGAAATGCAAATCTCCCCTTGTAGTTACAGCATTTCCTCTGCTTCACTTGGTGGTGTTCACGAAAACACTCCAAAGATATGACACTCTATAAAACAAGCAAGGTTTAGAGTTGAAGTCTCTTACGTATCTATTTTAAAGCAAATTTGTTTAAAGTATAATCGGATTGAATATTATTTTAGCTATATAAATACGTATCCAGTAGTGGTGTGGTCTGTTTTGGTGTAATCTAGTAGTAATTAGGTGGTTAAATTCCAAGAACTTAAAGTAAAGAAGAACGTATAGCAATATGTTAAACACACTATAGCTGCCATATCCATTACCTTTCGCCCAAGCTCATCAAGCGAACTGAAATACGACAGACACAGTAGTGGTTAAGGCACCATCTATATTATCAAACCGCATGAACAACAACTGTTTTATCAAGGTTATGAGTCATTCTTAAATCATAATTAGGGTAAGGATCAATAATCCATAATATTATTATTTTATTTTAACACAAATTATCTATTATTATTTATTTTTACCTTAATTAACTTTACTCGTCATTCAGAGCGAACGAGCAAGCTAGTCATATTGTTCCTGAAACAGCGCAAACAGCCACGGTGACAAATTTTAAGAGTTTGTAAGTGAAACCAAAGAATATGTAATCATCAGGTCAACTAAGCAGTAGCCTTCTGCCATCTAGTGGTAACTATCGTTAATAAAGATACCAAACATGTGATAAGATATGTATTTTAAGGAACATTGTGTGAATATTCAAAACGGCATATTAGTGGCATATACCGAATTTGTATTTATATAAATTGAGAGAAATAAGGTCCGATTAACTCACAATATAACCACCAACAGCACCGCCTAGAAGAAATCCTGCTGTGACATCTCCCCAGTGGTTTTCATGGAGAGAAACACGTGACACACCACACAATAACGAAAGTCCTGCTATCGATAACACCAGGGTTGGGCGGAGAAGGCGGGACGTACGCAGAGCAACAATAGTGTGTAGATACACCTAAAATAATTCAAGAATAATATACCAAATATTCTTAATTTTCTATTGTTTTCTTTTTTTTCTATTATACTGATTTAGTCCAACATTTACCAATCAGTTTTTAAACCCTTTTTTTTAAACTCATCATGTACTGAACTGCTTGTAGATCCATGACTTTGTTTGTTACGACAATGTACTATAGACATTTCAGTTAATCTTAATAACTTCTGCTGAGCCCCCCCCCCCCCATGTCCTTTAGATACCCATTTTTTTTATTGGTTCTTCAATTTAGTGTTTTAACAAGTAAAAGCATAGTTATTTAGTATGATGAAATGTTTAGATCCAACCGGCAGAACCGGATTAACGCATAGAACATACACAGACCCCGTCGGCCACACAAGTAAAAATATATACATATATATGGTTTGTAAAACTAGCAGAATAGAGGCAAGACTGAGTTATTATTATTTCCAAATATTAACTGGGCCTAGGGCACCACAAAGCCTTAATCCGGCCCTGTATAGAAAAAAAAGACGATAGTTTTAGGCTTGTGAAAATCTTGCATCTTATTTTTTATAATGGCACAAAAATAGCGATTAATTTAAAGCTGTAACAAAATAATTCAATTAATAAAGTGTAAAATGAAAATTAATAGCACAATATTTAGTAAGGGGAGAAAGGGTCAGAAAATGTTATCAACGATAATGATATTATCAAAAGGATAAAAAAGAGCAGAAAGCATGGGATGATGCACGTTAAAATTATATAGCAACTATCTTGGAAAAAAAAAAGATCACCTTTTGTTTACATATAGTTGCGACATCTAGTTTCATGCCTGTCTACTAAATATTTATACATCGTGAGGCATCATTTTTATATAGTTGCGACATCTGGTTTCATGTTTGTCTACTAAATATTTATACATAAGGCTTCATTTTAGCCAATATTTTTTTCTAAAAACGTTCTATATTGATTTTCAACTATTTCTTTTTTAAATATTTCAATCAGTATCTAGAACCACAATAAAAGTGGAATTAAATCGATCATTTCTGTCGTGGATCACAAAATTATTCAGTTCGCAAATATGTATTCGATTAAAAAATATATAAATTATAGTTGAGTCTGCTTGGTCAGTCTTTCACTACAGTTATTCTTCTACTACATAAGCATCTGAAAGATTGACTAAATATTGATGAAAAGATCAAAGTTAGGAATATACTTTGGATATTTTTTAACCATTTCGTTACAAAAATTAGCATCTCTTGTTCATGAAAAAAAGACATTTTAGTATTGGTAGTATATCTTATGGAGAAAAAGCTTGACTGATAATGCATCAATGTGATGTAAATCTAACTTAAGTCAATTAAGGTCGTAGTCTCCTAACCACACTAAAAATGTGCAGAAAGAAATGTAGCGCTCCTATGATTACAGATAAAAAAAAAACTTTCTTAATTAAACTGATCGTCAAAGGACGCTAGAAAATGATTATAAAAAAATGAGCAATAATTTATGTCGGTAGGTCATAGTTTTGATATAAAAAAGGCTCTATTTCTATCATTTTAATCACGTGGCATTTAATATTTTTCCCTTACAATTACCGTCATGCTAAGATAGCACATCTAAAAACACAAACAAATCGCAATGTTGCCCACTGTAGTTAGAAATGAATTTTTACCGTTTTACCCTTAGGAGTTCTTATTGTTTTTACTTCTGAAGAAACTTTCAAACAAAAGTAATTTTACTAACCATTATAAAAACTGCTGAGTAGGAAGATATCGAAGCATAGAAAGACGGAAATGACATCCTGAAAAAAAAAAGAAAATTCTATAGAAAATAATGTCGCTGGAAAAAAAAGAGTTCGTGGTAATACTTCCGAGGAAAGAGGTATAAAACTAAATACAACTATTTTACATTTTCGACATCTATGAGGTAATTTTGAAACTCTAAATAGCAGTAAACAGATTACAGAATTTATTATAAAATTACGTTAATCTCGATTATTTTGTCCTTATCATTTCTATTTAACTCAAATATTTCATTAAAAGGTTCGTATTAGTGGTTTGTTTGTTATTAATTTCGCGCAAAGCTACAAAGGGGCTATCTGCGCTAGCCGTCCCTAATTTAGTAGTAAAAGGATAGAAGGAAGGCAGCTAGTCACCATCACCCACCGCCAACTCTTGGGCTACTCTTTCACCAACGAATAGTGGAAATGAGCGTCACATTATAACGCCCCCACGGGCTGAAATTGGTGGCACAGGGATTCGAACCTACGACTCGCACATTGCGATTCGAGCGCCCTAACCACTTGGCCAGTCTTTAACAGACTTTAACACAATATGATTATATCGTGACTTATAAATAGAAGACTATAAGAATGCAACTTTACTTTTTTATTTAATAATATGATAATTTTTAATTGTGAAATATAACTTTTATCAGTGAGTCCTGACAAAAAAAATTAACGAACTTAAGCTGTGTAGACATTCTCAAGAACAAAACAAATCGCTTTAGCAACCAAGAATATGCTGACTGAATATTACAGACGATTGTATAGTTAAATATGATAAACAAAAATCGTCTAAAACTTTAAAACAGCTTTACATGTAACTTACCAAGACAAAAGAGAAATAATAAATTCAACAAAATAAATTTATTTATTTTTTGCACCCTGCTGAAGAGCGAAATTAAAGAAAAACCTTCATAATTGTCGCATTTATAGCAAGGAAACACATCACACCAATGACAAAGAATTGAAGAAAAACAATAATAGTTTTCGAAAAATAAAAAATACCTGAATGGAAATAAAGTATTCTGGAAAATTTTATTATGCATTTGTAAAATTATGACGATAATTTCAATATCGTAGCGCCATCTAAAGTGGAGAAAACTCAATGCGAATTAATTTTTTGTTTTTGTTTGTTTGTTTGTTTTGTTTCATTTACTTGTTGAATCTCGTGCAAAGCTACTAGAGGGCTTTGTAAGTTTTCTTAACTTTGAAGTGACAGACTAAAGTGACAGCATCTAGTCACAATCCACTACCGCCAACTTTACGGTTACTTTTACAGTGCCATTTCAAACAAGTTGAAATAGCCTTAAATTAATTTAAAAAAATATTTTTCAGCTAGCTTTTACTCTTTTATAGTAAATAATATAAAATGTATGTAAAATCTCAAATATAATAAATTCAAAGTTATATTTAATTGAACCATGATGATATGGAAACCAGTGTCTGGTCAAGTTGATCCAAACCATAATAGGTTAATGCAATTCTATATAATAAATGTTCGTAAAACATCTCTAAAATCTGTGAGTTTTTGCCACGAATTTCCCCTCCTTCTGCTGAGAGAATATCTTTTTTTTTGTTGTTTCTTAAACATCAGGCGTTATTTTCAACGAATTTGTATATTTATGAAACACGCATGAAAAATCCGAATAAAAATACACAGGTTTCAACCATAGGACATTTTCCAAATTATCTTTGGCGATCAAAATGCTCTAAGTTTTTCTCACTTATTCTATGTGACTTCATAAAATAATATAAATATTTTGGTAAAAAACAAACAAAAAAACATAATTTGATATATGAAATTCCAAAATCAGAATCCGGTAGACAACTCTGAACAAACTCAAACATTTTAATAAACGATCTGCCAAATTGGTGTTATATATTTTAATATTTTATTATATTAATGAAATCTACTCAATATCTTCTTTTTACTAATAAGGCCATTGTCCAAATGATACAATTATATAAAATATTTATGGCTTGACTTTTTTAATATTTTTTTTTCTTTCTAAGCATTTTGGTTTCTAAATGTACTAACATAATTGAATGAACTCAGAAATAAAAAAAACTTGGTAAATTTAAGGACTTTTGGGTTCAATAATTTGATTTTAAAGTAAGTAAATAGAAAAGTACAGATTGTTGTACGTACGATTATAATTAGAAAATCTTTCTTCGTAAAAGTACAGATTGTTGTACGTACGATTATAATTAGAAACTCTTTCTTCATAATCGCGAAGAAATTATAAAATTATTCTAAGTAATATTTTACCTTGCCAATCTGAGTTCCTGTTGTGGGGCGCGACAAATGTCCACAGAAATGAACTGACCAGGCGGACACGAGGAAGGATTACACACCTCTAAAAAGTGAGGTCTCAATTGACCAGTGGTTAGTTTTAATGCATCTGTCAGGATACTTGTACATAAATATCCAAAGAAGAACGTTCCTAGTATAAAAATATTTTTTAAAATGTGATGTTGAAAACATTACAACGTCCATCATATTCAGTTCAATAAGAATACAAGTGTTCTAAAACAATTTAATTAACCTTAATAATTCCTTGCGTACTTATTGAAGTAATAGGTCGTCAAGAAATTAATTTTGTTTTTTGTTTTTTTAGATGAAAAAATCCGAACAACTTATATATCAAAACAAAATATTTATTAAATGAAATAGTTTCCATTCTTATCGATGATACTTTTCCATCTAACAATCAGGTTGTTAATGCCCTGATTAAAGAAATCGCTTGACTTTGAAGCAAAAAACACGTCGATGTCCTCTTTAACACCTATCACATTTGCATACGTTTTCCCATTAAGATGGTGTGGCAGCATACGAAAAAAA